CGAGGTGGACTGAGCTCCAGATTGGGATAGCTATGGGATGTACGATCTCACCAAAACTGTTCGTTGTGGCCATGCAGGTCATGTTAGACAGAGCTGCTGGCTAAGAACAAGGCCTTCAGATTGGGGACCACTGGATGCGGCCACTACGTGCATTTATGGATGACACAACTATAATAACGGGCTGCGAGGAAGATGTCCGCACGATTCTAAAAAGGTTGGACAGCGTTGTCGAATGGTGTGGAATACAGTTCAAACAGTAGAAATCGAGAATTTTGTCAATACTAAAAGATGGCAAAGAATCGCATTTTTAAAGGTAAATTAAATAACTTGGCACACGCTCCATCGATACTTGACTGTCCGAGGGACTGTTGACCTGCCTGGTTTTGAGAGGTACCCAGAGTTAATCCGGAAGACCGGCCTGCGACCCGACATAGTTATACACTCTGCTGAGAAACGCCAGCTCATCCTGATTAGGCTAACCGTGCCGTATGAGTGGCGAATGGACGAAATTTGCATGTATAAGCTCGAGAAGTATTCGAGAGAAGTACGCAATAACAATCTTCGCCGTCGAGGTAGGCGTATGAGGTCTTATCTCCACTTCCATGTACAATGTGCTAAAGCAGCTGGGCTTGCGAGGAAAGGAGCACAGACGATCACTAAAACAACTGGCCGTAGCTGCAGAAAGAGCTTCGCGCTGGCTCTGGACGCAACGTAATGTCGTGGGGGATGGGCCTCGGTAGTCTGGTCCAGGTCTCTAGTGGGGAGAAAAACGTCTTTTCCTTTTAAAAACTAATGTGTTCGAAATGTCTGCTTGTGTCCCTCTGCCAATGGCACAAGTGTAACATATGTCCGATGAACCAACGTAAGCTTATCACTTGGCAGTTAAGGTAGTCGGATGATCTAATGGGTTACTGCCGCGACAATACATATATTTAACTTTAAATCTCTCAGTACCCGTTGCAAAGTAAATATTTCGTTTTGTCCCTGTCCGAGAACATCTGGTAGAGTGCAGTAGGAGAAGACAAAGGCCATTGAGTCATGACCCAGGTTGGACTACCTGCTGAAGTTGTCTAGAAGGTAATGGGCCGAAACAGTTGTCGACGAGAGATCTTAAACTGATGACTGGTAGACTCCTGCTGTACATGCTCCCCTGTACTGATGATCTGTAGACTCCTGCTGTACATGCTCCCCTGTACTGATGATCGGTAGACTCCTGCTGCGCATGCTCCCCGGTACTGATGACTGGTAGACTCCTGCTGTACATGCTCCCCTTTACTGATGACTGGTAGACTCCTGCTGTACATGCTCCCCTTTACTGATGACTGGTAGACTCCTGCTGTACATGCTCCCCTTTACTGATGACTGGTAGACTCCTGCTGTACATGCTCCCCTTTACTGATGACTGGTAGACTCCTGCTGCACATGCTCCCCTGTACTGATGACTGTTAGACTCCTGCTGTACATGCTCCGCGGTACTGATGACTGGTAGACTCCTGCTGTACATGCTCCCCTGTACTGATGACTGGTAGACTCCTGCTGTACATGCTCCCCTGTACTGATGACTGGTAGACTCCTGCTGTACATGCTCCCCTGTACTGATGACTGGTAGACTCCTGCTGTACATGCTCCCCTGTACTGATGACTGGTAGACTCCTGCTGTACATGCTCCCCTGTACTGATGACTGGTAGACTCCTGCTGTACATGCTCCCCTGTGGTGATGACTGGTAGACTCCTGCTGTACATGCTCCCCGGTACTGATGACTGGTAGACTCCTGCTGCGCATGCTCCCCGGTAAAGTTCTTCTTATATAATTATTGTTTATTCCAGAAGCCATGCCCAACTCGAAATATTAGTGTGATGTTCCGTTTTCAGCTTAAAATATTAGTGTGATGTCCCGTTTTCAGCTTAAAATATTAGTGTGATGTCCCGTTTTTAGCTAAAAATATTAGTGTGATGGTCACTCTAGTTATGTGTTATACGTTGGGTTATCTTAATATCGTTTCGGACACGTCCATAGTTGGTCAGGTTCGTTTTTCAACATATACATCAGCGTCCCGCTGTTAATACTGCTAGTAATTTGCTGATTAACAAGATTTCTTGTACGTTCCGTTGTCTGTCATGTTTGGCTGTGCCTAAATTTACTTCCAGTTCTCGTATTCCTGGCAGTGATGTGGACCCGCTGTTCCCAATATCCTGGATCGTTATATCTTCTTACGAACATTAGCAATGTCAGCGCGATCCTTAGGTATGCCATCTTCAGCTAAAGCAGACCCGGCCAATATATCGGCTCTTTAATTGCCACCATCGCCTGCATTCCCTATGACAAAGACGAATGTAGCTGCATGCTCAGGTACATTTTAGAATGGCTCTGTCCACGTCTGCCTACCGAACCTACCTGGATCCAGCGGTTTCAGCTCAAAGAATCACTCAGCACACACGTGGAAACAGTCATGTGATGCTTGTGTCACCACCATCGCCTCCATCGTCAGGCTGCTAGTAGTTATAGAGAAAGCATGGCTGATTTCCTGGACTGTTCTGCTTGGAGAGGAGGCTGTGAGTGCTCATGCACTCTTATGTCCTCATACAAGGGACTCATTTGTGTAGATAAGTACATCTGTTTCACCTCAGTTGTCACCTACAAGATTGTAGACCTCGGCGACGAGTAACAGGATTCTGCTCCCTACAACTTGTATCAACTGATGACACAGGACAAGGTGCCACTCAGCGATTTACGCATAGATATCCATTCTACGCCAGAGTGGATGTTTGTAAGACTGCACACCTGTTTTATATTATCCTGTGCCTTACTCAGTCCTGATTTTCCTCTTTTTAGTCCAAATGTTTCTTTAAAAGCACGTGGTATAAAAGGGGCTTTCGATATGTGCTTGTTTTCAATATTGCGGAAGCCTTCTGAAACTTTGTTCTGTAGTTCATGGTTGGAAAGTCAAGAAGGTGCCTTACTGATACATAAGGCGTGTCTCTTATGCACTCTAAAATAATGCGCATGGCTTAATTTTACATTTGCTCGTCATTCAGTCCGAGTAGGACAGACAGTGAGAAATCCTGAAGTGTATTCGATGGGCGCAAGAACCCGTCCTTAAAACAGTAGCAGGCACAGTCTCTGCTCAATACTTAATAATAAGCCTCATTGCTGACCAGCCTTTGCATGTTTTTGTTGTGGTCAATGCGTCCTGGAGTTTTTCGTCCTGCTCCGTATATGAGGTCCCCCTCCCCCCTCCTGCACAGGAGTTTTGTCGTGTTGATCTGTACAGGAGTGTTTTCATGTCGATTTGTACAGAAGTTTTTTTTTTTAAATTTTTGTTTTTTTCGAATGATATGTACAGGAGAGTTTTCATGTTCACCATGTTTATTTCGTGTTGATATGTACAGGAATTATTTTCGAGTTGATCCTTACAGAAGTTTTCGAGATATTCGTTAAAGTGTGAGGGCACCTGTCTTGAAAGACACTGTAACTAATGAAGCAGAGAACAGATAGCCAGACTGTTACTAGATATTTTGAAGCTATGGACATAACAAGTATACAGAATTATAACAGGGACATTAAAACACATATTTTATAGAACATTACATTAACATACACCTGCCCTAAATATATGGATGGATTTTACTAATCCCGCTCTTTGCAGGTGAGTTTATTATCATGAGGGTATCGTTAAAATAAAAAACCATGAACATAGTAGTATCTACATGATAACTTATCTAATCTAAATAATATATGAGCTGGACAGGAATTTTTCGATCTACTGTACCGGCGGAACTACCATTAAATATCCATTATTTGGAATGTTAATGTTTTTTTTGTTTTTTAACAATGATTTTCCTGCCTGGTTTGTTTCGTTAACTGTGAAGTTATTGATCTTAGTCATCCCCTTGTTGGATGCAGTTTTTAGTTATTTTAAAGCTGCACCCTGGCTTTTGCCGGGGTCCCTAAATATAGCCCTGTCATAAATATGGCATAACGGCTAAACGGGGTTACTGTGACCTCTCCATGGGTAATGCGGAGCCCGCATGGTGGCACTTTGTGTCACCGTTTGTTAATCGCTCTGTATGATGACCTGGTGGGGTATAACTTACATACATACATACACAAATGTGAAGCATTCTTCCAGCTGATTTCTGATTCTTTTTAACGTTCTTTTCCATTGTTGCTGAAGCTACTCCTTGCCCTGGTGTTCATCATGTCAGCCAGGACAGAGGGAAGCCTTGTAGAGCAATGGCTTGATGGTGCAAAGTTCGTAGGGTCGAATCCTTATTGCGGATAATATTTGTAATTTACTTTTGCTTCCACATCGAAGCAGCCTAAAATGATTAAAAGAATTTATCATGGGAAGTAAAGTCAGTCGGTGTGATGTTCATGACATAAACATTCCAGTGTTGATCGCTCTGTGAAAGGCTTCTATAGCATCATATGTCTAATACACATGCGCCTAATGTCGTGAAAAGAGTAGTTCACTTTTTGGACAAATTTACTTACTCCGACACAAACACAAACACACACACACACAGAGAGAGAGAGAGAGAGAGAGAGAGAGAGAGAGAGAGAAATGTACACGCACGCACGCACACACACACACACGCTCAAACACAACCCACTAACATTTGTTTGAAATCGCTAATAGTGCTTTACGTGTGTTAACACATATTTGAAAAATAAATCAAATGTAAAAACAAATATTTGCCAATAGTACTGCTTTTAAACTTAGTAAGTCTATCTTCTTTCTGTCATTTTTCTAGGAGGAGGGGGGGGGGAGTGGGGGGGGGAGGGGAGAGACGTTTAGCGTCCAAACCCCCAAGTCAAGACACCCTTTTTTACTGCTGGCAATATATGGACGATATAACTATTACTTTCGGTAATGTATATTTCTGTAATCCCGGTACGCAAGCCTTGATAGCAAGCCCGCCTTACTCAGTATGTATTGTTCAATTTTGATTTGCCTTGTCCACTTTAGCAGCAGCCTTACATTTATATCCGCTACAGATTCTTCTAGCAGATGGCTCCGACTTGTTTCTGTCTGCTAAAAACAGCCGATGCAAGGGAATTATTGTGAAGCAAGAAAAGGACTCACCAGCGTGGAGACTGCTGCATTCTTACATCACAGGAAGTGTAACCAGTGACATCACGACGTTGTCATGTAACAAGGTACCAGAGTTGACCAGAGTCATACTTGTGTCCAGGACTGCCCAGGG